ACGGGGAGGATACCACATGTACCCAAGTAGGTAGATGAAAAGTACTGCAAGCACAAAGTTAGACAAAGTCATTACAAGGTGGAGAAAGTGATATGAGCTGGGGACCTCAGGGGAAAGCCTGTGTAAGATGTGGTACCTGAATCAGACTTTGAAGGAAGCCAGGTAAAAGCAAGAAGGGAGTAGATATGGGGGGGGGCGGGAAGGAGGGGAAATTGTGCAAAGGCTGGGAAAGAGGGAAACAAACATTTATGAAGCACCTACTATGTGCCAGGCACTATGCTAAGCACTTTACAATATTATCTCCTTTGATTCTTACAACAACCCTGGGAGGTAGCTGCTATTATTAATTATCTCATTTTGACAGATGAAGAAACTGAGGCAGAGGTTAAGTGACTCGCAAGTAAGCAAGTAAGTGTCTGAGACTGGATTTTAATTCAGGTTTTCCTGACTCCAAGCCCAGCACTTTGTCCACAATTCTGGTCTTGTTATGAATGACAGCTAGCAGACTGAATGGAGAATGCATGATGGGGAAATAATAGGAAATGAGACTGGGAAGGTAGGTGAGGACCAGATAGCAGGAGTTTTTTAATAAATGCCACACTGAGAAATTCATATTTTCTCCCAGAGATAATAAGGAACCAGTGAAGACTTTTGACTAGGAGGATAACGTAATACGGGGTTTAGGAAGATCAATTTGATAGCCATATGGAGAATGGATTGGAAAGAAGAGAGACCAGAGATAGGGAGACCAATTATTAGGAGGTTACTGCAACAGTTCACATGATAGGTGATGAGAATAAAGGCTACGTGAGAGGAAAGGACATTTTCAAAGGATGTTGTGAGGTAGCTGAGACAACACTTGACAACTGATGGGTCGAGGGCAGTGTGAGGGAGAGAGCGGTCAAGAATGATTCTGAAGTTATGAATTTGGGTGACTACAAAGATGGTGGTGCCAATAAGACAAATAAGGAAGTGTGGAAGGATGAAGGAAGAATAAAAAGAATTCCAATTTTAAAATGTTGAGTTTGAGATGTCTATGGCGTATGCCATAGAGAACCGAAGTTCAGAGGAGAAGGTGGGAAATGTAGATCTGGGCATCATCTGCACTGAAATGATGACTGAACCCATGGGAGGTCCCCAGGTCACAAAGTGAGAGGATATATAGAGAGAAAGGGTGTGGAGCCTTGGCAGATGCCCATGTTTTGTGAGCAGAAAGAGGAGGATCCTGCAAAAGAGAGAAAGTAGTGTGGTTTGGGGTTGGGTTTTTTCTCCTTCTTTTGACTGTAGTAAGGAGTTGATCTCATGCAATTTTAGGGCAGAGAGATGGGGTCCACCATCAAAGCTACATGGCTTCCAGTCAGACTAGGCCTAGGTGGGAATTTAGAATCATAGGATGTCAGTGCTGGAAAGAACCTCTGAGATCATGTAGTTCAGAGGTTCTTAAGTCAACAAGCATTTATTAAGCACCTACTGTGTCAGGCACTGTGCTAAATTCAAGGATCTCATGGTCTAACGGCAGAGACAGCATGCAGAAAACTTTGTACAACCAAAATAAATATGTTTTAACAGGATTAGTTGGGGATCATGGACTCCTTTGGCAGTTTGGTGAAGTGTAAAGACTCCTTATCAGAATAATATTTTTAAATGCATTAAAAATACATAAAGTCGCAAAGGGAACAAGTTACATTGAAATATAATTATCAATATATCAATATATTTATATAACTTTGTGTATATACATACATATATGTATATACATACATATATGTATATACATACATATATGTATACACATGTGCATATACACACATGTCTATATATGTGTGTGCATATATATGTACATACAGAAAGAGAGAGAGGAAAAAAGTCAGTCCCCAGACTAAAAGCCCAATCCCATAATTTGACAGATTGAGAAACCAAGGCCCAGATTGAAGGAAGTGACTTGTACAAGGCCTCCCACAGTAGCAGATGACAGAGCCCAGAGTCAGATACTGCTACTCTGCTTAGAAGTAAGCCACTAACCCCTTAGAAAAGAAGTTAAGGGAGCCATGGCTTCTCTAGAAGGCGGAACTGGCTCACATTTCTGTGATGCTCTAAGGTCAAAAAGGGATTTCTTAAGAGCAGCCCAAAGATCTGAACTGAATGGGGTGAGGGTAACTGACAGGGGCACTTTAAGGGGCCTGGAGCTACTGAGGCCTCTAAGAGAGAGGTGAATACAGCCTGGTCTTCAGCCCAGTTCTCAAAGTGTGGTCTGATGACCCTTGAGGGACCCTGAGACCTTTTCAGGGAGTCCAGGAGGTCAAAACTACTTTCATAATAATACTAAGATGTTATTTGCCTATTAGAATATTTCTCCTTTTTCCAACCTATGTTCCTGTGTCAGACTGGAATTTTTTCCATATACTTCAACCAAAACAATATATCATAACAGATTGAACAGAAAGGAAAATCCAGCTTTCTGCTATTAAGCTGGACATTGAAGAGATCTGTAAAAACATGTATAACAATGCCCCTCTTGTCACCAATATTTTTTGGTACCAGGAAAACATAGTTATTTTTCACAAAAAATACATTATTTGTTAGAAATAACCCTAATTTCTAATGAAATTTTGAATGAATTAATAATTTTTTAAAATTTCTGCTTTGACTTCTGATATGGTAAACACTAACAATATAACTCATATAAATAGAAGCTCCTTGGAGTCCTCAATAATTTTTAATAGTGTAAAAGGGTCCAGACACCAAAAAGTTTGAGAACCACTGATCTAGAACCAAGGGGAAGGAAGGTGCCTTCCTCCCTCGAGGGTCCATGTACCAGGGCAGGACCCCACAGATCAAAGCTGACTACAAAGCAAATGAACAGCACAGTCTGGGTCTAGAGTGGCAGGCATTCCGAATAGGAAGCTAAGGATCACAGCAGCCCTGGAAAAGAATCCAGCTCTGCCTCGGACTAGAATGTTGCTTTTTTTGGCACCTAATCCAGACAGGAACAGGAAATAGGAACACAGAAGGAAAAAAAAATTGAAAGCGGCTTTGGACGTTGGTCATTTCTACTCCTCATGTCATTTGGTTCCTAGGTTTCCAGGTCCAGGTTTCTTGCCTCTTTCTCCCACTTCCAGACCCAGTTAAAAACTATGAATTCCTCGATTCTATTTTAGGCGTCAAGCCTCTGCAATGAAGCCATGTGACCACTTGAGGGCTCTTGCCCTGCCTTACTTCCTGCAGTTTTGAACTAGCATCCTAGGTTTGAGGAGTATCAAAAGCTAGGATAGGACAATTAAGACAAGAAGTTCTCTGTTGGCGGCACATCTCTTCTCAGGAGAGACAATAGATATGATGGCCCTGCAAGCCTTTGCCTACTATCTCCTTTGCTTCTCTGGGACAGAGGTAGGAATCATCTTGTTCTCCCAGATCCACTTTGGCCACAGACTCTTCTTCTAGGGGCCCAATAAACCATTGCTGATCCAGTAAGCTGTCTTTCCCTTTCCCCTTCTCCCTTCTCTCCTCCTCCTTTCAATCCACAAACTCACTTAGTTTGTCTTTGGACCCTGCTTCAGGTTTTCCCTTATTTTCCTCCCCTTCCTGGGGTGACATGGCTCCTGCCTAGGTCTATGTCCTATTTTTATCTGAAATAGTCAATGAGAATGGGCTGGGAGATGATTTCTCACCTCCCTCCTCTTGCTTCTTTTAATGCATGTGTGTGGGGTGATGTGAAACTACTCTTTGGGGAGGAGTCCCCATGCTCAGAGAGTTACCTTCCCTAGGGAACAGTTATCACGTCTCCTGTAGGATCAGGATTGGCTCTTTCCTGGATGCATGGGAGGGAATGTGGTGGACATTAAAGGCCTTGGGTATGAACTGGACCTTAGTCAGAAGCCTGTGGTCTTCAAATGCAGATGCTTCAGAAGCTCCCAAGTTCTTGGCCTGTGCCTGAGCCCAGAAGCCAAGCTGAAAGTACCCAGAACACATGAGGAGGCAGGGAGAGGAGCCAGAGGAAGGACCCTCACCCTCTTCACACATACCTTCAGCCTTTAAGAACTTCAGAAACATAACATAGCTCTCTAGGATGGGGGGGTCTAAAGGACTAGGGAACCTTTGGCGGGTAGTCTATGAGTGGCCCCCTAGGTCCTCAAGTGCAGCCCTTTGAATCCGAACTTCATAATTTGGTCAAAGGGCCACACGTGAGGACCTAGAAGGCCACATGTGGCTTCGAGGCTAAAGGTCCCCCCCCCATTAGTGTATGTGCGTGTGTAAGGATGGTCAGAGGGCGCTTCTTCTTCATATTAGAAGTCTTTCCAAAGCACATGGTTTTGAGGTGCCTCTGTTAGGCACAAAGCTGTTTTGCTTTCAGCCTGTATAAGAGGCAGGTAGTGAAGTGCCTCTTCCCAGAAGCAGACATGGTGAGGGAAAGGAGTCCTGGAACCTCCCAGCCCCTCGATGTGCCTTGCAGGACTGAAAAGAGCACAGGACAACAGTTTACTTCGGTAGCTGTCCCTGCTGAAGAACTGGTGCCTCAGGAGGAAGGAGATGGGCCTTTCCTGGGCTGGCACTAGTTCCTCGTGGACCTAGTTCAGAAGACAGGTGCCTGTTACAGAGAGGCGGTGCAGATAATAGGAGTTCCCCGCAGGGGCAGCTGGAAAAGCCTTTTCTCTGCCCCTGTGGCGCCCCCCTCCCCCTTTTGTACTGTGGTGCTTCTAGGTCTAACCCGGCTCGGGAGGCACCAAGAAAGGCGCACACGGCTACCTGTGGGAATGTCAAATTTGCTGCAACCCAGCCTGGCATGATGTCTGCTCCCTGGCCAAAAGAGTCCTAGCCACCTAAACTGTGGATGGAGGGAGGTGGGGTGGGGCTGTTTTTATGGCTTTCGGAGTGGGGGGCTCAGGCTACTCCCTGAGAGGAGCAAGACTGACCAATCAGGCGGTGGCTGCAGCGACCTCTTTCCCGCAATCCCAGCGGCAGTACAGGAGGAGGAGGAGGGAGAAGAGGAAGAGACACAGAGGGAGAGACGGAGAGAGGGAAAGAGGGAGAGAAGGAGGGGCCCTGCCCACCAGCCAATGCGCCGGGCGCTGCTGACCGTCGAGCCACGTGTGCCCGCCGCCCCGGGTGGGTATGAATGGGAAGCCGGGGCCGCGCCTAGGTACTGGCCACCATTTCCCCCGGCGCAGAGGCAGAGAGAAGGGGGAGCAGCTGGACCAGGGGTTCCGAGTCCCTCTTCCCTCCCTCAGTCCCTCAGGAGAATTTTCCTATCCCTAAGGCCCCCACCTCCTTGCTCCCACCCCATCACTCTGTCTTGCCTTCTGCCGCCAGTCTTGGCCCCTTCTGGCCCCCCTCCGTCCAACTGCGCCCAGCCGGCTGGGAGCAGGCGCCTCCCTTAGGGGCGCGCCTGGGGAGCTGCGGGGACAGCGACAGCGGGCTGGCTAGCCGCTTGCCCTCCATCCTGTCTGCCCGGAGCTGGGCCGGGCACTGCGTGGTGCTGCTCCCGCTGCCAACTTCGAGCCCGACCGGGGCCCGAAGCCGCCGAGGCGGCTCGGTTTCTCCTCCAGCTTTCTCTCCCACTTTGAAGAGCCGCGCTCAGGGGGTTCTTCTCCTCCTAGCTGGAGAATACTAGCCTTGCCTTGAGCCTCTAGCAGCTTGGGCGCCAGCTCCGCGCCCCTAGGGAGGGGACAGAGGACTCACAGGAGAGCCAGCCAGCGAAGCTGGCTCTGGACTACCCAGGGCTTTGCTTCATTTCCTAAAGAACCATCTCTTCTAGACCCTCTCTTTTCCCCAGGGGAAACCTAGTGCTAAGAATCCCACTCACTGTCTGGGGCTTTAGAGAACAGCCCCATCCCAGCCCCCAGCCGTGGTGGAGGAAGGGTCCTGGGGAGGCGAGGGAGATATACGGAAAGAACAAAGAGGTGGAAACCTTTTGAGGGGGAGAGATTCGCAACCTGATCCTGCAGGACCCCGGAAAGCCGTCGAAATCTCCACTTTCTCCCACGCTACTCCTTGCTTGAGCCTCCCACCCCTCTCCCCATTCCTTGACCCTTCATTTCCTTTAAGCCGGTCTACTTGCGAACTCCCGGGATAAACTAGGTGTCGGCCAGAGCGAAGATGAACCCAGGTTCTGAACAGGGAGCCCCGGCCGCCCTGGGGGTGGTCACCGCCACCTGCGTCTCCAAGGTGGAGCTCCGACTCAGCTGCCGGCATCTGCTGGATCGCGACCCGCTCAACAAGTCGGACCCCAGCGTGGTGTTGCTAATGCAGTCCCAGGGCCAATGGGTGGAGGTAGGAGGCGGCGGCGGCGGCTGCGGGGGGAGAGAGAAGGCTTGGGAGAGGGAGAGGAAGGGAGCGGTGCGCCAAGCGGAGGACTCAGAATGGGCTAAGTCTGGGAGTGGGGAACGTGGCCCAGCTCGGGACTGATCTGGGACTGGGAAGGGGCGCGGATGGTGAATTGCGGGGCATTCAGCAGTCCTCTTGAATGCAGAGGTCCTCAGGGCTCTTAGCGGGACGACTGAGAAGGCTTAGGTACATCCCAGCCCCAGCAGAAGAGGAGTCCCTCTACATTCCCCTGGGGCAGGAAGGCTTCTGTGCCCCTCGCTCCGGAGCAGTAACAGGTTGCTTGCTAGGCGACTGTTTGGTTCCTTCTAGGTACCCTAGTGGGAATGGTGCGCCCCTCCTCCCCATCCTGCCAATGATGCTGGGTCCTCAGAAGCTAGAGGAGGGACTGAAATACGTGTGTGTGTGTTTTTTGGGGGGTGAAAGAGAAAGAAGGGACACACCTCCATCCTTGTTTACGGTGCTGGGATGTGGCAGATTGCTGCCTGGGGCCCTGAGCCCTCTCTGTTAGAGAATTAATTATTGATATGGGGAATTAATTATTGATGTGGGGGTGGTGAAGGCCACCCTGACGGGGAGGAGAGGTGCCTAGGAATCCGTATGCCTTAGGAAGGCTGGCCTGGTGGTCTAGGGATGAGGTAGGAGGAGGGGTGAGTCTGCCCCGGAATGGAGGAGGATGGTCAGCCTTTCCCGATGAGGGAGAGGGTCTTATAGACATCTCTCTCCTTTCATCCCCCAGCCTTCTCAGCACTCTGATCACTTTTTCAATTTCCCAGTCTCTCGGTTTTCCACCAGCGCCAGCGGGCAGGGGTCAGGGCTTGGCGTTGGGAGAGGATGAGCACAACCTTGAGTCCTTTCTGCCCTTTGGACCCATCCAGGGTGTGGTTAATCTCATGGTCACCCTCCGGGTTGACACTGTATCCGCACGGCCGGAGGAGGCTCCGGCTCAGGTTCTAAGGAGTGTTGCCACGTCCATGGCGCCAGCAATTGTCTTTGTGGCCAATAAAGCTGACCCCAGGGCTGTCAGGATGGTTCAGTGACAGACGCCTGGGACAGACCTGATCCTTGATAGATGCCAGCAATCGAGGTCCCTCTGCCCCAATGACCTCAGGCCGAGAATCTCTTGACCCTCTCTGAGGCTAGAGGCGCCACATTTAAGACTAGACTGGAGTCTTCAGGCCATTGAATATCCGGTCCCTGGAGGGCCAGGGTGGGTGGGGGGGTTTGGGATGAGGGCTTTTTTAATGGAATTTCGATTCCGAAACAAGGGAGTAAAACCTGCCTGGGGCAAGGAGTGAGGTGTTTTCGGCAGGCCGACTTTGTGCTCGGGGCATTCTTGGTGGGGTTGCCAGAAGTCTACCTGGAACCTTCCTTCCACTCTAGTCTCTACACTCCACCCTCCTTCCAGGAGGCCAGGACTGAAGACTCAGTAGTCTCATTTCTTCTTAATTGGGGGGTGGGGGCGAGAGAGGAGAGGGGCCAGGTTGGCTTTTGAAAGGAGAGGAAGCTAGAGGAAGGGAAGGCTGAGAGTTTACCTGGGGTCAAGGGAAGCGGGGCAAAGATCTCCTAGAACTAGCCCAGTTTAGGGCAAGTGATGTTACCTAAACCACCCGAATTAACTACGTCTTGAGTACCCCAATCCACCGAGCCACAGGAGAATTAACCTGCCGCCCTACAATTATTCTCTGTTCCTGGGTCGGGGCTGTGTGGTTTGAAGGCACTGTGGTCCTGTGGAAAGACCACTGGCCTGGAAGTCAGATGACCTGGATTCTAATCTCAGTTTGTCTCTGTGTGGTCTTGAGGAGGTCGGAAGTTGCTTTAGCTCTTTAGGCTCCACTTGCCTTGTAAATAAAGGGAGGGAGTTCGATCTGATGACCTCTAAAATTAACTTCCAGCTCTAACATTCTAAGTCTAATTATAACCCAGGCTCCTCAGTTTTCTCTGGGTTGTGCCTCTCGCTTTGGTCTCGTTAAACTGTGTTGTCTAGGAGGCCCAATCTGCCTCCCTGATTGGGAGGACTAGCTTGTTGTGGTGGGGGCGGGGCGTGATGACGAAGGGACAAGTGTGGAGGAGAGCCACTCAGAGCCACTCTTGGTCGAGGGAGAACATGGTGGGGCCCTTTTTTTTCTCCAGATCCTGTGACCCGAACTCCCCAGTTTGTTCTGGGAATCCCCAATGTTGGGGTCCTTGCCAGACTCGATTACCCTGAGATCCTTCCACAGTCCAAGAAGCAAAAGAGTGCCTAAGGGGCATCTCACTTTTTCTCCTTAGCCCCTCCCTGGGCCGTGGGCCACACTGCGGGCTTTGTGGACCCTGGGGATCTGCCACCAGCCAGGGGTGTATGGGCCAAAAGCCCTGGAGCCGACAGTCAGGTCCGCTAATGGCTCGGCCACTCTAATGGGCTGCGGTTTGCCTAGCTGCTTTTCTCCAACCATCCATCTATCCATCGGTCCATCCACCTCCTCCTCCTTCCTCATCCCCTCCTCTGACTGGATGGGGCGGGATCGCAAGGGCTGAGATGGAGTTGGGAAGAAGCTGTTGGAGAAGAAAGGCGCTGATTAGAAGCACCTGCATCCAAGCAAGAGAAAGTAGGCTTGGGCAGGAGAGCTGCTTGGGAGGGACGGGTGGGACGGAGACCATCACATTGGTGCCAGGCATGGGCATGAACTGGAAGGGTCTTGAGCAGTCTCAAGGAACGGTACCTCACTCCTTCCCAGATCATTGTTTTGGGAGCCAAGACAGTGCGGTCTGATGGCTCTATAGCTTTGACAGGCCCTGGGAGCTGCTGTCGGTGCATAGGGAGAAGGGCCTAAAAAGGAAAAGCAGCAGGATCTTTTTGAGGCAAAGGGGAGTGCGGGGAATGGGAAAGGGAAGGATGCAAACGTGACTGAACTCTGTCTCCTGGAGGGCCGGGCAGGAGCTCCCAGGATTGGGCCCCAGTGTCCCTGGGGAGGTTGTAGAAAATGAGAGGGGCCTCGGAAGGCTGACTGGATTCCAGGGAATTGTGACAAGGCTGGGGAAGTCGGTGGTCGAAGCAGTGCAGGGATGTCTCCAGATGTTTGGAGTCACTCCCCAGCTCAAGGACTGAGGCTGCTCTGGTGCCCTTCTGCCTCCTCTTCAAGAAAGTCTTTATTCATTAATTGATCTGTCCCCTCTATTTAAGTGGAAGCTTTCCTGTGGAGTTGGGGAATTGGAGTTCCCCATCTTCCTTTTGAGCTTATGTGAGGTAAATCTAGGCCTAGCTTCAGGCCTCAAGGCAGAACCAGTGGGAGAATATTAGGTCACTTCTTCAGAGGTGTGTGGGTGGCCCCTGGGAGGTCTTTCCCCACCAGTATCTACCTGCTATACAACTGCTTTTGTTTTCCTTAATTAAGATGCAAGGTGTTGGCAGGGGTGGGGAACCATCTGTCTAGAAATATTAAATTAGCAGTTGTATGGAGGAGGGATTGTAGAGGGGAGAGTTTAGGGATGGGGAACCTGCTGCCTTGAGGCTGCAGGTTCTCCACTCCTGGTTTAGTGTTTTCACTACTGAGTGCTATACCCAGTTCTCAGCTCTGCCATTAACTGACCTAGTAAATCAGTGCGAGTCTTTGGACCTCATTTTCCTCATCTGTAAAATGGGAACTTTGAACTAGATGATCTATAAGGCTCTTTCCAGTTCTGTTTTCTATAATTCATCACTTTGGGTTAAATGTCACTCTACCCTTTAAAAAGTGAACTTCCTCTGAAGATTGCCACATTCTGTCCAGAAGAGCTGAGAGTGATGGAATTTATCAGATCTCTTGGCTCAAAGGGCGTTGGCAGCAGCAAAGCTTGCAAGCCTGAGTGGGGTGGAGAGATGGGAACAAAGGGTCTCAGCTCAGATGAACCTTGGTGGGGGGCTTGGCAGCTGCTTCTCTCCGCCGGCCGGCTGGCTGGCTAGGAGCCCATGGTGGGAGAAACAGGCTGCCGTGGTGCTGCGGAACGCTCGCTCACTCACTCACTACACTGGGTTTGAAGCCTAGATCTGCAGTCTTTGGGGTTCTTAACCTGGGTCCATAGAACACCAGTGGGTCTATCTGGATAGCTTTCAGGGGGTCTCGGATGGGGAAAAAGGCATCTTTATTTCAATATAATTATTTCCTCTGGAATCCTATGTATTTTATTTTCTGCATTGGAAATTGTTATTATAAGGAGTCAATAGGCTTCACTGAATGTCAGAAGGTCCATGATACAAAAAAGAACCCTTATTGCTGAGGTAAGGCCTATGGCCATGCAGTTGGGGTTCTTCCAAGCTAGAGCACTAGTACCTTCAAATGTCCTTCACTCCAGGTTCTAGCTGAATTCCCTGTCGCTGGAAGTCAGCATCCTCCCCTGGAGTGATTTATTTAGGACCTTAGATAAACAGAACTGAAAGTGCCTCTGGAAGTAATCAAGTTCAATCCCCTCATCTTACAGATGAGGAAACTGAGGTCCAGAAGTAGGGGAAAGGGTATGGAGGAAAGGAGCACTGGATTTGGAGTCAGGATACCTGGGTCTTTGGGCATACTATCCTTCCTTTCTGAGCCTTGGTCTCTTCATCTGCAAATTGAGAGGAATGGTTAAGATCAATTTCAGGGAGTCCATGAACTTAGATGGTTAAAAAAATACATCTTCGTTTTCACTAATCCTGAACTGATGTTTGCCATTTCCTTCAATTATTTTAAAAAATTATATATGTCTGCATGTGTGTATTTATTTCTTTTGAGGAGTCCACAAGACACAAAAGATTATGAACCCCTGGATTAAATCATCTCTAAGGTTCTGGATGGTTTTAAATCCTATAATTTATCCAAGGTCACCCTAGGGAGTTCGTGGCATTTAGAGAACTAGGCATATGGGTATTCTGACTGCCAGGCCAGGAATCTTCCCATAGCATCGTGCTTCTACCTGGTATTCAGAAGAAAGATCCAAGACCCCCCCTCTCCAAGCCTCCCTCCCTACCTGCTCCAACCTTTAACTGCTCAGAGGAGAGCATGCCTATTATTATCTCTGCTACTCTGTGTGGTGGGGAGGATTGTGATGTTGTCGTTGTAGTTCAGTCATTTCAGTTATTTGTGACTTGGTGTGAGCCAATTTGGGGTTTTCTTGGCAGAGATACTGGAGTGATTTGTTGTTTCCTTCTCCAGTTCATTTGACAGATCAGGAAACTGAGGCAAATAGGATCAAGTAACTTGCCCAGGATCACACAGCTAGGAAGTATCTGAGGCTGGATTGGAACTCATGAACATGAGTCTTCCTGATTCCTAGCCCAATGCTCTATCCACTGACATTATGACATTACTAACCTCAAACCAAAATCAGAAGAATTTTAATTCCCCTCAAAGTTATCAGATTCACTTTCTTGCTGCTAGGACTGATCCCTAGTAGTTAAGCCCCCAATCTCACTCTCTAGAGATCAGGAACATGAGATGCAAATCCTACTTTCCCTCTTTCCCTTGCCTAATTCTACCCATCTTGAGTTTAAGCAAAGATAATGATCTTCAAGGAGAAAAATTTAATTTCAGAAGTAATATACATGAGATTGCAGTAATTGAAAATGGGACTAAAGAAATCTACCAGGATCTATTGCATATTAACCTAGCCTCATCTTTAGCTCCATGAAGTCCTTGTCTATATCTAGGCAGTCCAGATCTACCATGGCCCTTAACTCTGAACTGTCTACCTTAGTACAAGGGTGGCCACCTACCTGTCTCTCCTTTTCTAAATCTGTTCAGCTGGAAAATGGGGCAGGAAGGCTGTCTTCCACCCTCTGGGAAAGTGACAAGGAGTGGCCTCCTTTCCCCCCTTACTTTTCAATCTGTAGCACAATAGGTCTAAAGGTGCTTTCTATATTTCAAGTCATTGGGAGTGCTTGGGATGAAAACATTTATTCCAGAAGAATCCACTAGGATAAGTTTTCAGCCTGTGTGTGTGTGTGTGTGTATATATATGTGTGTGTGATATATATCTATATGTCGATATCTTCCATCCCCCTATAAGTCGATATCTTCCATCCCCCATAAGTGCACACACACACACATATACATACACATACACATGCATACACACACAATTAGACTATAGACTCCTTGAGGACAAGAATTGTCGGTTTTTATGTTTGAACTCTCAGTGCCTCCCTAGAAGAGTTATCAAATGAGATAATCTATAAAGTGCTTAGCAATGCCTGGCACACAGTAGGAACTTTATTCTATTCTATTCATAGTAGTGCTTAATAAATGTTTGCAGGATTGAACTGATGAGGGGGATTTAACATGACTTTGGTGTTAGAGACTTTTTATCTCTTAAGTTATATCTTGGGTCATGAGATGCTGAGGCAGTAAGTGTGGGTACAGGGTGAGTTAGCTGATCAGTATATACATACACAAATATGCATAATTTAAAGTCAAATATGATAAGGGGAATAGGAGAAATCTAGGCAAAGCGCTTTAGGAAGGATTGAGAAAGTAGAGAATCCTTTTTGGGGGAGGAGGAGAAGAAGGAACCAAAATAGCTTAATGGTGACAGCCTGCTTCAGAGACAGGAAGACCTGCATTCAAGTCCCATCTCTGTGCGACCCTGGTCAAGTCACTGAATTTCCCGATATTCTAGGCAACTCTTCAGGGCCATACTTTGGAGAAAAGACAGCGATTTGTATTAGTGGAGGGATTTTCTTAATTCAGGAGTGTCCTGCACTCTTGAAATCACAAGTCTAGGGTCTAGGTAGGATCTAAGCTGGATCTTGAAGAAATAGAAGGAAGTTAAGGGGCAGAGAGGGATAGAGGAGTGTGATCCAGTTGGACTTACTCCCTGTTTGGGAGCTGGGGAATAGCTAATGATCTGTTTGGCTGAAACAGAGATACCCAGGACAGGGAATAACGTGAAACAAGGCTGGAGAGGTAAAGGGAGCTAGGTTTCTGAACCAGCTTTCTCTTGAAGTCCAGGATAAAGAGTTTCTATTTTATCCTACAGGCCAGGCAAGCCAGTGAAGGCTTTTGAACAAGGGAGTAAAATGATTAGCTCTTCACCTTAGAAGATGTATTTGTGAATTGTGTAATAGGATGGAGGGGGGAAGGGGATGATTAGAGGCAGAGAGGCTGTTTAGGAGGCGATTACAATAGTCCAGGACAGAGGTGTTCTGGTCCTGACTGTCTCAGCCAGGTTGGTACCCAGGGAGGACAGTCTGCCTTTGAGTGAGTTTGGTGTCTAAATCAGTCCCTGGCCCTCACCTTCCCCCTCAATTTAGGTTCCTTGGAGTGGACTGCTCAGTTGAGAGAGTCATTCTCTCCTTTTTCCCTCTCCAGTATCCCGAGAGTGGACTCTCCTCTTCCTCTTCCTTACTTTCTCATCTCTCAAACCCTGGATTCCATTTAGTAGCAGGCCTATTGGATCCTCCCTCCTGGCCTTCTTCTGGAGGCACCCTGCCCAAGCCTGGAGATCCCAGGCTTGGGGTTTATTAGTTCAGGTAGCTCCTCTTTCCTGAAAATTCTGAAGCTGTAGAGAGCTTTACATCAGGCTGCCTTTTTTCCTGTGTTTTGCTAAAATAGCCATCTGAAAATGGATGGTTTGGGCCCATATCCAGTGCCAGGCTCTAGTAGCTCTTCTGCCAGTGTCTCTTGGGGGGGTGCTGCCCCTGTCAGTTGTAGCTGGAGGACCTTGGAACTGAAAGATTCCTTGAAGGTCAAGGTTAGCAGTCCAGGTGTGCAGGGGCTGTGTTGGGCCAAGCTGTGCCTCTTAAAAGCGTTTGCTTTGGGGGGGGTCATCCCTACAATGACATGGTATCATTGTAGGGTATCTCTGCTAAGCCCTTCTTGTGCCCACCACTCTGCATTCATTCATTTCATTCAACTGGCATTTCTTAAGCCCTGGCCAAGTGCCAGGCACTGATTGTGTTAGCCTCTAAAGATACCAAGTAAAACCAACCAGCCTCTCCATCTCCCCGGAAAACACCCGCAAAACCAAAAAACCTGAGGCCATTCTTGCCCTCAAGGAGTTTACATTCTATCTCCACTCTATTCTGAGGATTGAAGTTCAGTGCTAGGGCTCTGCCTGGGGAGGGAGTGGCAGGGAGAGAAGTGAGAGGTCTCTAGTTCACCCTATGGTAATCTAATTCACAGTGCCTGTATCTGAACAGTGGGCAATAAGGACTGGGGATGCTTTCATCTTCTCGGACAAAGCAGGAGAAAGAAAGAGATTTACCTAGGTTTGGGGGCTGCAGATGAGGAGTGGTAGAGAGATTAACACTGCCCTCTGGTGGCCCTAGGAACTGGGGCATGGGGGAGTGCAGACTTGGGGAGCTCAGAGGGGAAGGGAGAAGGGAAGGAAGGAAAGAAAGGAAGGAAGGAGAGGAGTGTGGGGGCTTTGTTTTACTCCTTACCTGTGGAAAGCATTTTCAGATATAATTACCTCATTTCATCCTCTTAACATCCCTGTGAAGTGGAACAAAAACATTTTTATATTGGGACAAGTCAGGGAGATTAAATACGTTTTTGTTGTTCGGTTGTGTCTAACTCTTTGTGACCCCAGGGTTAAGTGACTTGCCCATGGTTTCACAGCTGGGAAGTGTCTGAGGTCAGATTTGAACTCAGATCTTCCTGACTCCAGGCCAGGCCAGGCACCCTGTTCACTTCATCACCTAGCTGCCCTTTAACTGTGCTAGCCAAGCTCAGCTAACAACCACAACAGCTGGCTTTTCTATAACACTTAAGGTTTTCAAGGAACTTGGCTTATCTCCTTTGATCACAGCCCTGGGAGGTCAGCGATATTATTATTCCCATTTTACATATAAAGAAGCTGAGACTGAGAGAGGTTTCATAAATCTAGAAAGTGCCCAAGGCAGGATTTGAACTCAGATCTTTCAGACTCCAAAGTTCAACATTCTTCCCACTGTCCAGCTAGTAAATTAAGTATTGGAGTTAAGGCTGGAAATTAGATCTATGAGAAGCAGTGTTATAAGGGGGAAAGCCCTTGATTCAGAGTCAGATACCTTGGGGTTCATCTGGATTCTGGTCCCCTGTGACTTTGGATGGGTCTTTTCCTTTCTTTAGGCCTTGGTTTGCCCATCAGTCAAATGAGGGAAAATCTCTAATGGCCCTTCCCATTCCAAATCCTATGATTCATGATTCTTGTGAGCCTGAGCCTAGTACTGTCCTTCTTACCTTTGTAAGTAGCCCCTGTTTATACTTATCTTCCCTTTCACCTAGAAGACCCTGACATAGGACTCTGAGTCTGCTCGTTGTCCTGCAGGAAAGAAACAAGGGTCAAGGAGGAGAAAAACCTGGTCCAGCCATCGAGGCCCCTTTGGGGTGCTACCTGCCATTGTGGGGGGGTGTCTCAGGAATTGTAGGGAAGAGGCCGACCCTGCTCCAATGTGCCCTGCTGCTTCTAGGTGGACAGGACCGAGGTTATCAAGAGCAGCCTACACCCGGTGTTTTCCAAGGTCTTCACTCTGGACTACTACTTTGAGGAAGTACAGAAGCTTCGCTTTGAGGCCTACGATATTCATGGACACTGCAGCATTGGCTCCCAGGATGATGACTTCTTGGGAGGCGTAGAGTGCACTTTGGGGCAGGTAGCTATCTCTCATCCCTAGGCTCTGGGTGCAGCCTGAGGGTGGAACAGGGGTGCAGATGGCAGTGCTGAAGAGAAGGAGAGAAGGAGCCACCTGAGGGTGGGAACAGGTCAGGACGACAAACTGTGCTCCAGGCATCAGAGAGCTCAGGAGGCTGAAGAGAGGTCCTGTGGAGAGCTAAGACTCATTAGGGTTGCTCCAGACACAAAAGCTGTATCTCGTCCTGCCTAGGATGTTGTAGGCTACATAACTGGTTTTGAGGGGCTCCTTACCCCTTCCTGGCTTGGAAGCCATTTCCCCAAGGGTGATGCCTTGGTAGCATCTGAAATCTCTGCTTGAAATTTCCTTCTAAGGCTAGGAAACGTAAAATACTTGTTTTGGAGAGATAACTCATTAAGATGCTTATCACCCCTCCACCCCCATCCTTCAGCATAAAGCAACAAGTGATGATGGATCAGCCCTGGGGGTGGCAGATGAAATTAGTATTAGACAAAGTCTCTGCCCAAGAGGCACTTACAGTCTAATTGGAGAGATGAGTACAACAGCGAACCCAGCAGCGTTAGATTCTCGATAGCTGTTTCCAACAATTTAAAGAGCTCTCATATAGCAGGGGGATTAGATTCGTTCTGTTTGGCCTCAGAGGGGAGCAGTGGGTGGGCAGAAGCTGCAAGAAGAAGATTTCCACAGGATTGGTTGCCTTTTTGAGAATTGGAGCTGTCCAAAGACACATGAGCTGCCTGAGATGAGTTCCCCATCACAAGAGTCTTAGGCAGAGGCCAGATGCTTGATTGCTTCTTAAGGGGGTGGGGGGAGGGAGTGGTGTTATAGGAGGTTTGGGTGCGGATTGGATGAGATGACCCAGAAGGTTCCATCCATCTCTGAGATTCTGTGAAATCCTGATATTATAAAGTTCTAAGTTACATAGATAAGAGAATTAGAGGGTAGAGCAGGGTAACCTTTGATATACACTGGTTTCCTTCCACCAATGGGACTCCCCCTCTTCTCTTTGTAGATTGTGGCCCAAAAGAAGATGACCAGAGCCCTGCTACTTAAAAATGGCAAGCATGCTGGCAAATCCACCATCACGGTATGGGTACCCTATGTTCTCCTGCCCTTCATTGCATCTCACCATCTGCTTCCCCACAAAGCTCCTGAGGTTGAATCATCCCCCTGGGAGCTGCCAAGTCCATCCATCACCCATCTTTTCCTTTACCTTTGTCTGGAGGCTTAGGAGATTGTACTCAGTAGAAACATGTCCCTCCTCTTTCCCTATTTATTAGTTTTATTATTGTTAATTATTCTGCTTCAAGAGATGCATCATGGCATAATGGATAGAGCTTCCCATAACTCCCTCTCCCCTTGCCCTCTCAGCTGAGAACTTTGCCTTTTATTTTCCAGAAAAAAATTGAAGCCATTCACCATGTGCTCCCTCTTCTCTCCTGTTCCTCATCTCCTAAGACTCAGATGCCTTTTGCCACTCTCTCTTTCACTCTGTCTCACATGATGAAGTTGCCTTACTCCTTACCAAGGCTAATACCTCTACTTGTTCAAGCTATCCCATTCCATCCCATCTCCTCCAACACACTGCCCCCTCTGTCATCTCCACTCTATCATTTATTTTCAATCTCTATCTCTACTGGCTCATTTCCCACTGCCTACATACATGCCATGTCTCTCCCATTCTGAAAAAATTTGATCATTTCCATCCTCACTCATTAGTATTCTATATCTCTTCTACCCTTTATGGCTAAACTCCTGGAAAAAGGCTGACTACACTAGGTAACTCCATTTTCTCTCCTCTCACTCTCTTCTTAACCCCTTAAAATCTGGCTCCTGATCTTACCATTCTACTGAAACTGCTCTCTCTAAAGTTACCAATCATCGCTTCGTTGACAAACCCAATGGCTTTTTCTCAATTATGATTCTCCTTGACTTCTCTGTAGCCTTTGACAATGTTGATCATCATCTCCTCCTTAATAATCCATTTTCTCTAGGTTTTTGGGACACGGCTTTCTCCTTGTCTTCTAACTGTCTAACTGCTGCTTCTCGTTCTTCTTTGCTAGATCCTCATCCAGGTCATGTCCACTAATGGTAGGTGTCCCACAGGACTCTGTCCTGGTCTCTCTTCCCTTCTCCTTCTATACTACTTCCCTTGGTGATCTCATCAGCTACCATGGATTTAATTATTGTCTCTATGCTGACAATTCTCAAATCTACCTATCCTGCCCCAACCTCTCTGCTGACCTCCAATTTCACATCTCCAGCTGCCTTTCAGACGTCTTGAATTGGATGTCCGGTAGACATCTTAAACTCAACCCGTTGAGAACCAAACTTGTTATCTTTGTTCCTAAACCCTTCCTCCCTCCTACCTTCCCTATTACTGTAGAAGACAATGCCATCTTCCCAGCCCCCCAAACTCACAACTTAGATATCATCTTTGATTTCTCCTTAGTTCTCACGTTGGCTCCCTCCTCCCTTGCCCCATCCAATTTATTACCAAGGACTTTGCAACATTTCTCAAATATACCCTCTTCTCTCCCCCTTCTCCATCACTCTGCTTGGTATCCAAAGACCTTCATAATATTGCCCTCATTTATCTTTCCAGTCTTCTTACACCTTGCACCCTTCCGAGTAATTCTTCCATCCAGTGACCCTGGTCTCCTGGCTGTTCCACAAAGAAGACATTGCATCTTTTGGCTGTAGGTATTGTCTCTGGCTGTCCCCCATTCCTGGAATGCTCTGTCTTCTCTTCTCTGCCTAATGACCCCCTTAGCTTTCTTTAATCCCATCTTTTACTGGAAGTCTTTCCCAACTCCTCTTAATTCCATTGCCTTCCATCTGTTATTACCTACTTAACCTCTATGTAGCTTGTTTGTAAATATATATGTATGTACATGTATGTATGTATATGTGTGTGTATGTGTGTTGTTTGTTTCTTCTTCAATACACTGTGACCCCTCTGAGGGCAGGGATTGTTTTTATATCCTTAGAGCTTAGCACAGTGTCTGACACACAGTAGGCACTTAATACATGTTGATTGATTATTTGAAGAAGACCTGGCCTCTGACACATACTGGTTGTGGGGCCTTAGGCAAATCACCTAACCTCTCTGAGGCTCTAAATTGCATAATAGTTGTGCAACTAAAAATTCCTTAAACCATTGATATCACAGGACCCTGACTACGCCCCTTACTTCTCCCTCCCCTGCCCAAAAAAATACTTCAAGAATCCACGATTGTGTTGACATGGGCAGTTGATTACTCCATCAATGACAATCACTGTAACAGCTGACATTTATATATCACTTTAAATGTTTCAAAGTGCTTTTCATCCATGATATCACTTGAACTTCACAAATGAGGATACTGAGCATCAGAGAAGGTAAGGGTATGTCAGAGGCAGGAGAGGAAGCTGTGTCCCTGACTCCAAGTCCATCATTCAGTCTACCTCCACTCCTGCCCTCACAACACTTCTGAGGGTTTGCAGATGGGCTTTGTGATGACTTCGTGTGTCAAAGATGCCCTTTCTTAGAACTTAGCTGGACTGGTTCTGTGGTGAAAGACAGACACCCAGCTTGGTAAGATCTGCCAAAGCCTTAGAGAGGGCAGATCATCTTCATTCTGAGAGGAAGCATCTGAATAAGCTCTAACATCATTGGAATGGGATTCATTAATAATTAATAAACATTGTGAGGACAACCACTTGCATTAATGATAATCACATTTATATAAAGCTTTAAGGATTACAAAGCACTTTAAATACATGATCTCATTTGATCTTCACCACAGCTTGGTGAGCTAGGTGCTATAGTTATTTTCCTCTTACAATGAAGAAATGGGACCTAGGAGTTGATTGACTTGCCCAAGGTCACGGAGCCAGTAAATGTCAGAGGCGAGTCTCCAGATCCAGGCCCTCTCCACTTGTTCTTGATGCCTATTTGCCTAGCTAGTTACACTTGACAGAGCACTTTTATTTATTTATTTTTTTAAATTAAGGCAATGGTGGTTAAGTGACTTGCCCAGTAAGTGTCAAGGCTGGATTTGAACTCAGGTCCTCCTGACTTCAGGGCCGGTGCTCTGTCCACTGTGCCACCTAGCTGCCCCGCGATAAAGCACTTTTATACAAATGCTATCATTCAATTCTTACAATATTCTTCAAATTAAGTGGAGCAGGCATCATGCCCTCCATTTAACAGTTGGTGAGACTAGGGTCAAGGAGGTGAAGATGTTCCCCATGGTCTTACAGCTACTTATTAGCAGAGCTGGGGGGGGGAGTCTCCTGACTCCCCCTGAGGAGGATTCCTTCACCCTAGCCAAAGTCTGGAGGCCTCTCCCAGTCACTGCACCCTTCACTTGTCTTTCTGTGACTTTCTATGACAGTTGGCTTGGCTGGGATGGCTCAGAAGCTTTCCCGCACAGTTCTTTAGGGGTATATCCATAAACTAAGGGAAGTTAATGAGAAGATGTGGAGGTCCTCTTCTAGTACAGAGTCTTATGATCCTAGAACATTCTCATCCTCCCCAGGTGATAGCAGAGGAGATCTCTGGGAACAATGGTTATGTGGAACTCTCTTTCCGGGCCAAGAAGCTCGATGATAAGGTAAGTGGAAAGGAACAGAAATTCCTCCAGGGCTGGCCCTAGATTCCCTCCCGAAGGACTGAGAGTTCAGCGATAGGTACCTAGCAAAAGTTACTGCTTTTAATTTATCTTTTTTTTCTAAGCTGCTACTTTTTAATTTAATTTTTTTCTAAGTCATTACTTTTAAAAGTAGAACAGCTAGTGTTATTCTTTTGGATTTTCCAGATAGGACAAATTGAGACCCATAAAGATTAAGTGACTTGCTTCCTGGATATTTCATTCTCAAACATCTTCTCCCACACCTGGGGAATTAACTATATTTCTCTTCTGCTCCTACCAGGATCTCTTTAGCAAATCGGATCCTTTCCTGGAGATCTACCGCATCAATGATGATCAGAGTGAACAGCTGGTATACAGGACAGAGGTGAGCTTTAGGGAGTCATTGTCTGGAATGGTGGTGATGAAATATTTGGGGGGACACTTGGGGTAGAGGAAGTATATGGCCGTAGATACCAGGTAGATGTAATTTTATTTCCCTGGAACATGAACGTGCCAACTCATGCATGAGGGATGCAAATGGGAATGAAATTTGTAAAGGGTGCAGGTGTATAAGTGTTTATGTGGTGCCTACTAAGTGTCAGGCATTACGCTAAGCACTTTTTACAAATATTATCCCAATCACAGCAACCCTTCGAGGCAGGTGCTATTATTATCCGCATTTGACAGTTGAGGAAACTGAGGCAAACAGAGGTTAAGTGACGTGCCTCAGATTGCACAGCTAGTGTTTGAGGTCAGATTTGAACTAAGGTCTTCCTTCCTCTGGGGCTCAGTGCTGGGTCAGCGGTTGCCTGTCAGGGGAGGGAGGACTGTAAAGGGGGCTGGAGCAGCTGTTGGTAGTTCTTTCATGGAAGAAGACAGCTGGACCTTACCAGAAGAAATAACAGCCAACAGTCATATTGCTCATAGCAGATACAGAACCTGATTTACAAAGGCATTCCTTCCTTCCTACAGGCTTGTTGAGATAGGGCTAGTGCAAATAGTATTATTCTGTAGTTTATAAAGGAGCTGCAGACAGGCTAGTCGGGGGTGGGAACCTGCAGCCTTAAGGCCACATATGGCCTTCTAGGTCCTTAAGTGCAGTCTTTGGAGTTGTTCTATAAAATTGGATTCAGTCAAAAGACCACACTTAAGGACCTAGAAGGCCATGTGTGGCCTTAAGACCACAGGTTCCCCACCTCTGGGTTAGGTGATTGGTCACCCAGAATCTCAGAGTTTGGGGGAATCCGAGTGGTCATCCATTCCAACGTCCAACCCAATCTCTTCAAAAACAAACATCCCTTTAGAGATAGTCATCTTGCTTCTGCCAAGAGACTTCCAGTGACAAGGAATTCATTTAATCACAAGGCAGCCCACAGGACAGTTCTAATTGATAAGCAGTTTTCCCTTACATAAATTTAAACCCAATGTTTATAATTATAATGGAAAGGCAGCCACGAGGTAGTAGATGGTGCCAGGAAGACCTGGGTTCAAGTCCTCCTTCTGACATGCTTTGGATGTGGTAACTGCCTGGGCAAGTCACTTAACCTCGAAGTGCTCTTGGTGTCTCTTTAAGACATTTGCCAAGGAATGCTGATCTATACTGATGGGAAGAGGTTCCTGACCTAGGAATTCCTTGTATCAGTGAAATCACAGGTCTATTCCTAACCCTGTAATTGTGCTATATGTAGTAGGAGAAAATAAGAAATAACCTCGAACGCTGGGGAACAGCAATGCCCAGTGTGGGACTGAGATGCAGCGGGATCCCATAAGGACAGAGGATTTTAAGTCTGGAAGGCACCAGAGAGACCGTCCAGTTCAACCCTCTTATGTTAGGTGGGAGGACACTGGGGCCGAGAGATGATACTATTTTACCAGAAAGAATGGTGAATACAAATCATATGCAGAGTAATGCAAAGCAAAAAAAGGTCAAACTAGGAATACTCTATACACACTGATTAAAACTATGTAGTCTATGTATGTATGTATACGCGCACATACTCACATAAAAGCACATATGGTATCCCAAAAGTCTTAGTACAGTTTTAAGCTTAAATAACTGAAAAATAATTCATAAGTAGCTTAAACTTTAATAGCTTAAAACGGAACTAAGACTTTTGGGACAACAGGTGTTTATGTGTGCATATGCATGTCTACATGTACTCGGGCAGCTAGGAGGCAAAGTGGATAGAGTGCCCCAAGCCTGAAGTCATGAAGATTCATCTTCTTGAGTTCAAATCTGGCCTCAGACACTTACTAGGTATGTGACCCTGATGTGGGATGGAAGAAAAGTCCTGATTGGTAGAGAAGGAGACAGAGGTAGGTCTAGGAGCAAGGTCAAGGTCTGGGAGCCAAGAAAAGGAGAGGGTCTGAGCTTAGTACAAGGTACTGTGAACTCAGTTCTCAGAGCAGAGTAAGGATCAGAGCTTAAACCAGGTCCTTGACCTCAAAATCCAGACCTGAAAAGTGCACCCACTGAAGACCTCCAGTAATGTGGGAATGGCTGCAGCTCGTTGCATCTGGGGACAGCTGTAATTGTCAAGACAATTTTTGTTATTGTTGAGAAAATTCATTTCCCTCCCCCCTTTTTGCAGAAGGATACCCAGGAGTACGCTGGATTTGAAATATAGCTTATGCTGAGACATTTGACGTGTTAACTGGTTTTTACTGATTTGCTTTCTTTTCTTTCTCTTTAAAAAAGAGACAGGGGATAGGTTGATGTGTAGGATAGGGGTATGTTTGGAAATGCAGGTGATATGAAAACAAAAGTTATCAATAAAAATATGATTAGCACCCCTCCCCCCTTTATGCCAAGCCTGGAATTCATATCCAAGTTCTAGCACGTACTAGCTATATGACCTTGGACAAGTCATTTCCCCCTCTGGGGCACTATTTCTTCCTCTGCCAAACGGGATTAGATTGGTTAATATCTGAAGTCCTTTAGTGTTCTAAAATCCTCTGACAAGATGAGACTGAAGCCTCAAGACCCACCCCCATGGGCAAAGACCAGAGTTGTTCCCAGGAGAGAATCCTCTCCTAGGTTGGAGACAGATATTATGTCCCAGGTTGGGGGTGGGAACACTGATGAGGTCAAAAGGGGAAATAATTCAATAACCAGTCTTACCTGAAGGTGAATGAATTGGCACCACTGATCAGGCCCTGTGAGCCCTGACTTTAGGTTCTATCTGGTTTCCATAGGTTGTGAAGAATAATCTGAATCCTGTGTGGGAGACATTCAAAGTTTCCCTGAACTCCCTTTGTAGCTGTGAGGAGAAGAGGCCTCTTAAGGTAGTGGGGCCTGGGATCTGAGGAATGGGGCTGCTAAGGAATCCATCTTCCCTCTTGAGAGGGGATCTGGGAACAGGAAATTATCTCCCTCTTGCCCCAGCCTCTGCCTGGGCAGGGGATCAGAATTTAGCCATCAGCTGGGATGGAAGAAAGTCCTGATTGGCAGAGAAAGGGGAAGAGCTTGGTTTAGGAGCAAAGCTGTGGCCAAGAGTGTGGTAGGGGTTGGGCTCAGTGGAATGTGGACCAGCACTACAGAATAATGATAACAGGGGTTATATGGGCTTTAAACCTTGTGAGGTAGGTAGCACAGAATGAATAGTTCTGACTCTGGTCAAGGAACAGGTTGGGCCCAGGGAAAGATAGATGTTGAGAAGGAAGAAGAAAAAGGGGGAGATGGATGAATAGGCCACACGGTCCAGGAGCTGAACCAGTTCTCCCAGAGTGCCCTTGGGCAGCCTGGGCTGAAATTTGCTGTTGTTTTATGGCAGTGTCTGGTTTGGGACTACGATTCTAGAGGGAAACATGACTTCATTGGCGAATTCTCCACCACTTTTGAGGAAATGCAGAAGGCACTTGAGGAGGACAAGGTACATGGGACAGGGTGAGGGGCAGAGGGGTCCATGGTTTGGGAGCTGAAAGGGCTGCTACCTGAGCACAGCCAGAGGAAGGAAGAACTAGCAGCAGGGGTGAACCGGATGGACCAGGGCTAGCCCCTTTTCCCTTTGCTCATCTCCACATATGGTTAATACCAGGGAGCAGGGAATGTGATGTCTTCTTCCTCCGCCCCCAGACCATATAGCTGGAGTGCTTGGGGGCAGAGTGAAGCAATTAGTGTTTTTCCCATGAGGAACCATGCCCTCGATCAATTTGTCCTCAGGAAGTGAAGATAGTAGCGAACATAGGGGAGAGAGAAGGGAAGACTGTGAGTGAGGGCTTGCAATAAGGTTGGGAGTTGGGCAATGTGTTTGAACTGATGATGGATTAATGGATGGTTCCCCAAAAGGGGTCACGAAGAGTCAGACATGACTGGAAAAGAACTAAACAAAAAGATGTGAGCAATTGGAAAAGAAGAGTGTTCCATAAACTGCCCCCTTCCCCCCCAATCTCCAGGTGTTTCCCAGCCTAAGCTAGTTTATAAAAATAACAGCATAGTGGATAGAGTAGACAGGATGCTCAGCTGGGCAGTAAGGATGCCTGAGTTTTATTTCCAGGTCACCATCTAGCTTCCTTGGGGTCATAAGACTTAGATTCTCCCCTGGTGCTTCAATGTCTCTGTCTTTGCTAATCCTTTACCTGAGGGAGAATCCATGAAGAGTAAAAGGTGTCCTGAGACCCTGGAGGGGAAAGGCCTTGGTAATGGTGGGGTCTAAAGAAATCCAAAACCAAGTAGTCATTTCAGTACCAGACTGCATTAGAGTTCAAAGCACTGTATCTAAAGGTAGAGGTTTACATGAGAATTAGGGCTCTTGCTGTGTGTAGGTGGCCATTGCAAAGCTTCCAAGATGCATGGGCGCCATCCCTCTGGGAAAGTATATCTTATCTTAGAGAGTCCAGGAAAAGCCATATGCATGGGATAGATGCACTGTGTGCAAGGAATACATGGTATTTGTTAGTGAAAGCTCAGATTCTTTGCATGGGTGTTGTTAAATGCAGGTTTATTTTCACTTTACAGAAATCCAATAGGTGAAGAATCAGATTTACCCAAAAAGATAAATTAGGGGGCCATATTTACTTTACAAGATTACCATTACTTTTACAAGGGAATTGTCCTTTATATCACTCCCTTCTCTGAACATTCAAGTGATTTATTTTGTCATAATTTCATTTCAACTTTTTTCCACGTCATATTGTGTGAAATGAGACACGTGCATATTTGCATATTGCAGAAACTCTGATTCATCCTCATTATGCCTTTCATCCATTCAATGGGCATTTATTACACACCTGCTATGTGCCAGGCTTTGGTGAGACAAAGACAAAAATGAAACAGTCCTTGTCCTGAAGGAGCTTATATTCTAAGATGGGAAGTAAACCCACCTGAACAGTTTTCCCACCTGAAATGCCTATGATATTCTGCGTCCATAATACTGCAAGCTGTGTGTGAATTAGAAAGCATAGGATTGTGTTGTCCCGTAATAATCTAGGGTCTATCACACAGGTGAGTATTTGTGTGATCTGTTCTATAGACACCAGGCCTTTGTCTTGTGTTCTCTGCCCATAGGTTCAATGGGACTGTGTGAACCCCAAGTACAAAACTAAGAAACGGAATTATAAAAACTCAGGGGTGGTCATCCTGTCAGATCTGAAGGTGAGCCTAGGAGGGGTTCACAGTTCTGCCTTTTTTAAAAAAAAATATTTATTTATTTTTAACATTCATTTATTTTTTAAAAATTGAGTTCCAAATCTTCTTCCTACTTCCATTCCTTTCCCCACCAACTGAGAAGGCAAGCAATATAATATCAATTATATATGTGAAATAATAGAAGACATATTTCCATATTATCCATGTTGCAAAAAGAAATAAGCAAGAAAAATGAAGAAAGTGAGAAAGTCGATTTGCCCTCAGAGTTTATCAGTTCCTTCTCTGGAGGTAGATAGCATTTTTCATCATGAGGACTTTGGATTTGTCCTGAATCATTGTCTTGATCAGAGTAGCTAAATCTTTCACAGTTGATCATTGTTACAATATTATTGTTACTGTGTACAATGTTTTCTCCTGGTTCTGCTCACTTCACTTTGCTCGTGTTCATATAAGTCTTCCTAGGTTTTGTTCTGAAATCATCCAGCTCGTCATTTCATATAGCACAATGGGATTCCATTACAATCATATACCACAGTTTGTTCAGCCATTCTCCAGTGGATGGGCATCCCCTCAATTTTTAATTCTTGGCCACCACACACAAAAAGGCTGCTATCTTTTGTGTATGGAAGTCCTTTTCCTTTTCCTTTGATCTCTTTGGGATACAGACCTAAGAGTGGTATTGCTAGATCCAAGGACAATACAGAGTTCTATAGCCCTTTGAACAGTGTTCCAAATTGTTCTACAGAATGTTTGGACCAGTTCACAGACCCATCAACAGTGTATCAGTATCCCTATTTTTCCATATCCCCTCCAGCATTTGTCATTTTTTTCTGTCGTGTTAGCCAATCTGATGGGTATGAAGTGGGACCTCAGAGTTGTTTTAACAATTGTCCTTTTTTAAGGTCAGAAACTGAGGCACCCTATATGTGACCTTCTCACCTTTCATGTGGATTGGCTGCTCAGCACCCTATAGGGTGGGAAGACTGATAACTACCCTCAGGTTTTCCCCTTCCTTAGTCTTGAGTCTTGGTAGTTGTAAGGGAGGAGAGGAAGGCATGTCCTACTCTATCCTCAGATCTCAGGCTGTCTCTGATTTTTGCTGAGATAGACTAGAATGGATGGAATTTCAGAAAATCTTCCCCATCTTCGACTCATTGATCCTCTGGACTCTTTTCTCTGGCTTATTCATGGATCATGGAGTGGCAATGGTGGACATCATGGGAGAGAGAGGAGGGAGGACTGTGGATATGTAAGGAATATGGGAGTAAGGGTTGAAGACGGACAGGTGTTTGAATGGGTAGGTGTGGGCAAATGGAAGAGGAGACATTCTGCCCCTTCCCCTTCTCCGGTTGTTTGCCAGCCATGCCCTCCCTCCCCTTTTGCCTGGTTCCCCCCACCTCTGTGTCTCGGGAGGTCTCCTTGCTGATCCCTGGAGTCCCAGGCCTGGTGGTTGGAAGAGGGAGGTGAGTGCAAGGGGAAGTGCCCGCTAGAGCCATCAACGAGCCCCATTAATGCTGTTTGTTTGGAAGATCCACAGGGTCTACTCCTTCCTGGATTACATTATGGGTGGATGCCAGATTCACTTCACTGTAAGTAACACTTTCTCTGTCACCTCCTTGGTGATGCTGGGAACACTGCCAGGAGCAGAGCCGCACACTCTACTGTGCTGGAAACAGCTTGAAAGGGAATCTTGGGGCTGGGCAGGGGGAGGCAGGCACTTCCTAGGCAGGACCTTGGTGGTCAGCAGGGGCTCCGAGAACCTCCAAGCCAGACTAAGTTAACCATTGCCTGGCTCTCTATCTGGGGAGTAAACTCCTTTGCGAATGCTCTCTTGGCAGGAAAATTTCCTGCC